GCCTTCGGTGTAAATTAATAGAAGGCTGTCGTTGGAGTGTGTGGTTAGAGCCTTTTCTAGCAGGAAGAAGCGCGCAAGTCCGAATAAAAAATTCATCTTCCTCAATAGGCGGATGAGGTGCGTATCGTCGAGGGGTCCAACCGGTCGGAGGCGTTACATGAAGTCCGGTTTCAGCACCCCCTTTTTCGGACTTCTGTGTCGCACCTGCTTGGTCATCAAAGATCCCCACGATCACTGGCGACTTGATAGAGAATGTCGCGCTTGCTGACCGATCGTGAAAATTCACGGGCTTAGGAGATACTGCTCCCTCAACACTTGTTTGAGAGGAGCGTTTGCTATACACCGAAGACCCGTCATCCCCATGGGAGTCTTCCGATGATGAGTTCGAAGCCGAATTATTATTGCTCTGAAATGTGGGTCCTGGGGCTGGGTTGGAGATTTGCGACGTGATCGATGGGTGGATGTGGACTTGCTGTCGCTGTTGCTGTGCGCTCAGGGGAGAGACCATTGAGTCGCGTACGAGGACCTTCTTCGATGCTGATGATACTGACGGTGGCGACACATCGTGGCCATAGACAATCTCAGCCGAGGCTGATCTAATGTGACTATTATTGCCCGTGGTGGGACTGAAGAAGGGAATCGACGGGAGCGGTCGGTCAAGTTTGTGACTGGGAATGACAACCTGTATCCTAGGCCTTCGGCTCTTTGTTGATGTGGGTGACTGAGGCTCGGGAGTAGTCGTGTCGTTGCTCTCCCATTGTATCCTCCCGTGTCTGTAGCGGCCGATGATGCCTCTGAGATCAGTGCTGCTCGAGAAGAACTTCATCTCGGTCCCGGCCTTGATAGACGGGAGCGCGGTCGCACTGCTGCTCCGCGTTCGAGTGCGAGCAAGCCCATTTTGTGGAGTCAACCGGGAGGATGGCTGGCTCTCTGATGTTGGCGATATGCCGATGTTGGTCAGTATTTCCTGATTGGGTAACGTCGCCATGTCTCGCTCTAATGGGGTGAGGGGAGCCGTTCCGCAGGCAGTCGACGCTGGAACGGCGCGCAGAATAGTACCCGACTTCTTGGAGGCCTTGCTCTTCTGTGAGGATTTCCCTCTCTTGACTGACTTGGTGGGTGAGGACGACGCGTTCAGCATCGTATTCTGTCCGGTTTCCAAAGGCCGACGAGGCCTGGACGTGGGGTCAGCCTTTTTATGGGAGAATACCTGGAGACTCTGCCGGTGGAAGACGGACCGGGAGCGGGCTACGAATGAGGTTGGCCTGATAGAGGAGCGTGGTTTTGTGGAGGGAGGTTCGAGGAGGCCAGAGTCTGTGGTGACGGACAGCATGGTGGCAGGGTAGAGATGTATACAAATGCACGTTTCAAAATAGCAGCGCTCTAAGCAGCTAAAGCTAAGGGAGACAGGGATGGGAGCGAGCGGCGCCAGGTGCCGGATGGCTCACGGGATGGCTGATATCAGACACAAGACGCAGTCGGCATGGGACAACAGTGCGGCATGAAAGCGGGCGGGGCGAAATAGCAGCGGGCAGAAGAGGCAAGAAAGGAAATGAAGCAGCACCTATATCATAAATGTCGAGCGCATCCTGCTCGGGCTCGTCCGGGCACCTACCTATGTACTGTACTGAGCCCCAATCCATGGGTATGGCAGGCTCGCAGCTCGCAACAGCGCCGCCGCCGCCGGATGGGGTCAGTCGAGCGTGCGAGGGTGCCTAGGTGCGAGGAGAGGGCTCAGAGCTCCGGCGGGCGGGGTCCGAGAGGATCTACGCCGGGGCTGAGGCCGAGCAGAGGGCAGTAAATTTAGATGCATGGCGCACGGGCACGGGCACGGGCGAGGTTGGGGCGAGAGCAAGAGGTCGTCAGATGAGAACTCCAACACTCTGTCTCCCCATCCTGCAGTCAGCACAGTTTCCCCAACCAGCGCGCCAGATCGCTTGTTTCGCTTTCGAAATGCCCGTGTCCGAGTCTAGAGGCTGTCTCGCGCATCGTGGCCTCCAGATGGGTGTTGTCGCAGAGGCGAGCTGGACACAACCACTCACTCTCCAGCAGGCACCCCAGGACCGGAGCGAGCTACGACTTCGACATGGGACGCTGCGAGACCGCATCCGCCTTGCTCTGGCTATACGACCTTTGCGAAGACATGGTGAAGAGGTCCAGAGTGTCGTGATTGGATCATGCCGCCCCGAGTCGCAGCCAGCAATACTTGGGGGCTCGTGTCCAGCTCGCTTCCGTGCTCAAGACAGGTACCCAACAAGCAGCGTCGAGGTGCTACCCCAGCTCTATGCTACGCACGAGGTGACTGGGATCGTGCAGTTGTGCAGCTTCGCTCGTCTCCTGTAACACGCTTCAACCACTATCTAGTGACCAAGTTGTCCATATTAGGTGCTTCCAGAACGATTATTGATCGGGCACAACACCGTGGCTACGCATCGCTCGTATACATCCTCGCTACGTATTATCCTTGACAAGCAACTGGGACCAGCCTAGACAATTGCTTGTCTAGCTCTAATTCAGGTACCCAGCCGCGCACACAGTCTGCTTATAGCGATTCTTCCTCTACAATAGACAGAAGTGGAAAGCATGGGCGGGGCCACAGTCAGCCATACTGCCAAGCCATGGCGCCTACCTATTTCCGTCCCAATTACAATGGGAGCATATGCTTATCTAAATTGCATAATGCTCCTCTCATCGCGTGCTCTGCATCATTAGAAGCGAGGACATTTTCTTCTGAGTCAAGCTCATCTCACCATCAACTACCATATAGGGCCCCAAGGCTGGTGTCAGCAAGCATTCAAGATTCTGTATCAATGTCTCATCGTTCCTTAGTACTGTGTCTTGATCCAAGATGTAAACTTGGACGCACGCTTTCATGACTCGGTTGCCCGCCGCATGAGATGACTGAACAAGTGTTCTTTGTCGTTATTTCCGCCCTACGCGCAGCGGGTATAGTCTCGGGCGAGTCTTTTGGCTTATTGCTCAAATCACGTCTCCAACATCAGATTTGTACGTCTCCGCCACCTTAAGCCTCTCAGCATTGCTTCAAGGGTACCGGCCGCAGGGCAACCATTCATTTCAAATGCTCATGGCGGAGGATTCAACCTTACCAATTCGCAGGATCTAGTTCCACTTTGTAAGGGCCTCAACCCAACCGTGGGGCACAACAAGCCAATTGGCCATCTTTTTCAAGGTCCACGCTCTCTATTGGTCGCCAGGTACAATAATCTAGAGCAGTGCCTGGCAGTGTCGAATCCTACGAAAGAAGCCGAGCGTCTCGCGTGCCGTGTATGCCGCATTGGAGCAATAAATGTAAGGCAAAGGTCAAGCCGTTCGCAGCCAGTTCGCCAAGCACAAGACCTTAGGTACTATTGCGACAGCGGCAATGGCGTCTTTGGTGCATGGCAAGTGAAACAAGGACTCTTAGTCAAGCGTCTCGCCGCACGCCAGTCCTCGACGGCATTCTAGTCTTACGCTGCCACATGGCTTTCTTTTTGAGACAATTCCTTCTTCAACAAGTGTCCATATTGTGAATCAGCAGATTTCCTGGTTCACGGGAGGAGCACAGTTCCGCCAGCTTCTTGCAACCACAAATCTCCAGGTCTAGTACTCACTCGTCGAGTAGGCATGTACAACTTCGCTCCCTATAATGCGTTCATCGTATAACATCTTGAAGATGTGAGCCGTTACTCTTATCATGCGTCGCAGCCAAATTGAGAAGCATATGCATCGGCATCACCGCGTCCAAGTTCTCTAATTGACTGATCACGAGTCTGGAGAACATCCACCCAACAACCAACACAATGCAAAACGCAGCCGAGGCGTCGGTCCTCTGTCCTTGATAATTGATCGCTAACATGTTGATAAAACTACCATTGGCGGGCAGTCATTAACGTGAAGCAGTGCATGCAGCCCCGCCATGGTTCGGAGTCCGATAGCAATTCGTCGCTCATAGGTGAGCTCGCTTCTTTTCCGAATTCGTGCAGTGTGCTTCATCACCACCACATGGTCCAGCTCACTGCAGAGCTAGTTAATTCATCGCAGAAATGTTCCACTCCAAGAAGGCAAAAGTCCCAAATCTTTCACTCCCCGCATCTCTACCCAGCACACAAACCTGCATCCCCAACCCAATATCGACCGTTCCTACTATCCCATTCGCCCCGCCGCGCCACATCACTTAACGCCGAAGTCCGCATTCGCTTCTTCCGACTCTTCTACTCAGGACAACCATCATACAACGGCTTACCCACCGCATTCGCCTACCACTTTTCTAGTGCGACGCGGTACATATGTATAGATCCTATAAAATAGGTATAGACTACTGGCTTCCCTGCATGTATCAGAAAGGTACATAAAAAGTCCGGTAAGCAATAGGTACCTGCGTCTGCGGAACGGTATGACATGACCCTGGTCGCACGTGACTATTAGATATGCACGAGGCGAGAACTGAGACGGGGGCGTGTGTGTGCATAACTTATGAGGTAAAGAAGCTCCACGGCTAGACTTCCCTATCCCATCTTTTCGATCCGGGACCTTGCGTCTCTGCAATACAAGAAAAATAGAAATTTCCTTTTAAATCAATTCCTTGTCTGCGGACAAACCTCGCGATGAATAAATATTCCACAGCGTGCGTGAGTCCGGCGGTACGATTTTCAGACTCTCGTATCTTCCGCTGACATCAGGAAAAAGCGCAGCAGGAGTCCATTTCCATCTTCCACTTTCATGACCCTTCGACTTCATATACAATACATTATCCCATATGAAATATACACACTACTATCTATCAACACTCCTCATTCCTCTAAACCCCACCCAACATTCCCACAAACTACCAACTACCAACTAACCCAACACCAACACCCCCATCACAAAAAAAAACCACACCACAGCAAATCCTCCAACCTCCAAATCTCCCACACGAACAATAGGGCAAGAAGAGAATAAAAAAAATAAAAAAATAAAATAAAAATAAAAATAAATTAGAAAATTTCGGCATTTGTAAGAGGGCCGAACCGGAGTCGAACCGGTGACTTCGGGAAGGCAGATGAAGAAAAACTGCAGTCCTACACTCTACCACTGAGTTACCGGCCCGACAAATCGACCAATGACGTAAGATTTCTTTTGTATAGAATATATATGTATCGTAATAGAAAAACAATGAATGCGGCGAACGGAGTGCAGAGCGATGAGTCATACCCTAAGGAGTTTACATTCCACAGCCGGATGTGAGGATTGGAATGTAGGGAACGGAGAATAGCTACAAAGCCCTGTATATATCATCACTTGGCCCTCACTTGCGTGATGATAAAATAAAGTTTCACAAGTTGAGTAATTCTGTGCATCAATCTAGACCACTACTAAGAAACTAGTACAGTATCCGCCTTGGGTATCTAACTATGCTTTGCCAATCCCGAACGCCTCGCTCAATTCTCCATCATAGTAAGTAGTTTTAAACCTCATCTGCCTAAGGAGAAGGGCTCCTCAATTCGCCAGCCGGTCGACCAGAACTATCCGGAACTTCCACTATACTCTCCACCATCCTCAAGAACCTTGTCCGATATTCTTCACTAGATGTTGTAATACTCATCGGCCCATGATTCTTGCCCCACTTCAAGAAGTTGAAGGAATTTACCAGGCCCGTAAGAGCCTTTGCCTGTAAAGCATCCTTCGCCCAGAAGAAGTCGAGGAGGATGGCGCGGTAGATCCACTTACCGTCACGAGACACAAGGCCATTGCGCCATGCCGATGGTCTACCGGGTGGCACGGGGATCTTTCCTCCTTCAGCAGTACCCATCGAGGCGGGATAACGGACAAGGAAGAGACTATAATCGACCGCATTGGCCTCTTGCAATATCTTCGTGTCTCTCGCAAGCTGTGCAACGAGTTCCTCCTTCTCATCAATATTCACGCGCACCTTGTCCGGAAACTCATCGATCAGCCGCTCCTTCACGCTCTCTGGAGCCAATCTTCCGCCCGCGATGTCGCGCTCCGGGTAAAAGTAATCGTTTGGCTTCAAGTCATATGTCTCCCACTTTTTCTGGTCTCCCTTTGCGCAGCTAGACTTGCCATACAGAATGTTCTCCATGACGATGTGGTGGGAGGGTGCTGACCCGAGCATGGCTCCGAGCGTCGTCACGGGACAGTATAGTAGGTCTGTTATCCGGACCAGCAAGGACGCCTCATTGAGTTCCATATGCTCTGTATACGGATAGAGAAGGCGACGGCGAAAGAACGACTGCTCAAAATGGCGGGGTAGGGATTTGAGCAGGAACTTCGAATTCGGCGTAGTGAAGAATGTCTAAATAGATTAGCTATATTCACCAAGGATCAATTGCCGAGTACGTACGGAACCAGAATAGCCCAAGTCTCCGACGGGAATGAGGTCGGTTCTCTTGCCGTAGCTTGGTGAGCGGAATGACTCCGTATACTCCTCCTCTTCGATCCGCCATATTTCGTTCCTCAGCTTCTTGAAGAGCTCTTCTCTGTATCTAGCGAGAGTGAGGCCGAAGACCGAGAAGAAGGCAAGGATACGGGCAAGAAAGCTTGGTGACTTGCTCGCATTTTTAGACTTGCTCTTGAAGATGGCACGTAGGATTGAAGTGCTAATCAGCCGCTCGCGCCGACCCATTGCTAGAAATACAGATACGGTCGTACTATGAATGTTAGTATGGAAATAGTTTTCTTTCGTGGGTTTGGAGGGCGTCGACAATCTGTTACATAGGTAGCGTTCAAGTTTCGGAGACAAACAATGACGTCAGTTCTTGTCATGACAGGGGTCTGCCAACCCCAGTACTCACCCCATACTTCATTTGACGAGAACTTCAGGGTAATTCACGAACTATTCTTATTTTGATGCATATAGGGACCTACACTCTGGCTATCCATTAGTCGAAGACTGTATTCCAAGGCTTTCGACCTTACTCCGTTGCCTTGTTCGTCACTGTGAAATGATGTGGTCTAAGCAAGAGAAATTCTATCCTGCGCTTATTGTCGCGGTACTATGTACTCCGGTGCATCGGGGTTTCCCTGGTCCGGACTTGCTGTGTTCAGTATGACTCTCCCACAGATATATTAACCAACCCAGCAAGAGAAGGCAAGCGACTACTCTGTCAGTCATTACAGCTCAACTAAGAGGCCGCAGAGATATCTAAGATCTGAATTTTATTCGCTATCAAGGACAGATTCGATATGTATAACTGGCGTCTAGTCTGTCAATTCGTTTGGCGGTCTTGCTGCCCTCTATACCTGACTAGTGGTCACTATTATCACTAGTAGAACTTGTTGCAATATGCACATTTAATTGTATGCGGACTAGAGCAACGTTAGCATAGTGAGCACTTCCGCAGCACGAGAATACAAGACTCGTGGGAATAGATACCTTCTGGCACGCCCTTTTATTTCGTCTCGAAACTTAAACGATTGAGGAAGACCCATTTACAACAATAACGGCTCCGAGCTCCCAATAACTAATTAACACATCTCAAAACTCGCTTCCGAATCTAAACCTCGCCATGTTGCTTGATGCGAGTAGAATATAAGATGCCAAGTAACAATCATCAATTGAAGTATATGGTCTCGGATCGCTAGCGACTGTTGATGTGTCTAGTCGATGTTGGAGTGTTTGAGCAAGCGTCTAGCAAATTGAACTGTGGCAACACGCCTACATGGAGAACCCGGCGAAGGAAAAGCATTACCCACTAAGTTTAAGCATTTTTCGTCGTATCTGGCCCACCTTACTCTCTTCCCGATGCGCTAAGTTGAGGAGATCTCCATATGCGGATGCATTCGTACAAAAAATAAAAAAAATAAAAAATTTTTTTTTTGGGTCATAGTGGAGACATTTTGGTTTCTTCCACCAACTCGATTGCTACTCGTTGTAAAGCAGTATAGCGATCGACCAAAGCCTCCAAATATCATATTGTCCAAAGTTGCATCCCACAATCTAGTTCACCAATAGCCCAAAACCCACCATTTAGACTTATCTAAACTCCACCACCATCATCCCAGGAACACCTCCCTTAGCTTCCACAAACTTCCCCCAAGAAACCCTCCTCCTAAACCAAACACTGCTAGCACGAACACCACACTGTGTCAAAACCCCTCAATCTACAACCTTCCCGTCCATAGCCTCCCATTTAAGGCACCCAGCTACCCACGATCTCGCCTTCGAAACAGCCCAACACCCCGCTACTGCAGCGGCTAGATACCTTCCCGACCGATCTCCCGTGTGATCCACCCTGCATGTCCCGCCCGCCTCAAAGATGTCCTTGCTACATACACCTATACCACCACTGACCCTTCGGATCCCTCCCTCCCTATCGTCCAAAAAAGGATGTGCGGGACTAGCAGAACCAATAGCTCACCGCGAATTACCTATCGCCGCCAAGATGTGTGTATATAGACTTCTAGCTTGCAGTAGGAAATCTGGGACATGCATAAGTATTGATGAGTAAGTAAGAATGTAAGAATGCAAGACGGGTAATCCATGTAGCAGACCATGCACCTCGACGGACGGGATAGGGACGAGGAGATAGCTCATCGCTTGGTGCAATGAGAAGGCGTCTCAGTATAGCAGCCAGTCTACCTAGTTTTCCTATCACAGACTCTAAGTTTTGCTTATCCCCGGCAGAGGGTCTAAGGGTGCTTATATCCATCTATCCACACTGTGAGCTTTGTAATTTCTCTGTGCTACCTTTCTAGATTATAAAGTTTGCTTGTCTTACCTTCCCGTTGCCTCTTTCGGTTATACATATATAAATATACACAAACCTACCCCTCCCCCTCCCCATCCTTTTCAGACAAACAATCTTGTTCTCTTTTCTTTTCCGATTGATTATTATTTGACATGGCGGCGGCCGCCGACGTCCATAATCTGCCTGCTGAGCCTATGGCCTCGCTACCAGACTACTTGACCGATCCAGATGCGGTGCTGGGGGATACGCAGGCTGATTGGAGGTATGGGCGGGCGCCAGATTATTCGAAGACGAGGAAGATGTTTGAAGAGAGTGAGTTTATTTGTTGCACGGAATGTTTTTTTTTTTATTTTTATTTTTATTTTTTTTCCCTTCAAACTTGGATTTGATGTGGACGATTTAGGATAATAGGGGCGATAGACTGACACTGCATCTCCAACAATCCATCCAGTCCACACTTAATCTAGCCCACAACACCCCAGTGCCGCAACATCTCACATTCCAAAAAAGAATGAATCTAGATAACTACATCTAACATTCTTTTCAGAAGCCTAGCAATCTAAACTAACAAGCTCCCCAGCCAAAAAGATGACCCACCCGGCGGGCTCTCTCCCTACCCTCGTCCAAAACCTGGTCAAGAACTGGGAAATCGAAGCCTCCTTCAAGCCCACACTATCCGACTGGCGCACCATCGACCCTCAAAACTACTCCTTCGCTATCAACGGCTCGGACCCACAATCCGCCGCCTACATGCTGCAAGTCGGCACCTACAACGCCATCATTAGCCCTAATGAGTACTACAGCCCCGAGTACTCTGATTTCGGGTCGAGCCATAAGACGTTTAAGAGGATGATGCCGACGTTTGCGTGGGAGGTTCTTGAGGTGTATAGCGGACCGCCGACGGTCGCGTTTCGCTGGCGGCATTGGGGAGTCATGAAGAATGACTATGTGGGGTTTAATAAGTGGGTGCTGCATAGGTACCTACGTGCAAAGCTTTTGTTATACTGATGGTGTGATAGTAAGGGTGAAAAGGTGACGGCCAAGGCGCACGGCGGGCTTATCGATATCCAGGGCGTCACTGTTGCTACAGTGGATGACAAAGTGCGGCTCCAGGCCGTCCGCACATGGTTTGATCCGATGGATGTGTTCCGGCAAATAGCGCTGGACGGGGCCGTCACGAAAGATGCTGTGGATAAGAGTATCTCGCCTAACAACGCGCTGGACAGCGAACACGAACTCGAAATCGACACCGAGACGCGACCGCTAGAAAAGACGCTTCCTGATCAGACGGTCAATGGCTCGGAGGTGGAGAACCTTGTTGAGGCTGCTGCGCGCCCGTTCGCGGGGACGGATGCGAAGAAGAATGTGAAGCCGTTCATACATCATCCTACGGGGCTT